ACCAGATGGATTGCAAGATGCTTGGCTTCTGTACATAGTTGTCTAATAAGACTGGACACTGAGAAAATATACTGATTTTTGCAATGCATAAACTGCATAAAAATATACGTATTAACTGAATTAGGCACTCAGTTTTGGAGTTGCAGTAGAAATTGAAGACATTAGAATATATACCATTTCTGAATTGTAGATCTAGGACAAAATGAACAGCTGTTTGTGGGTGTAAACAGAACAAATCTTTCTAGATTAAAGCAGTCAATGCATGCCAACTACTTCGTGTGTCTGCTCTATTCTGTGGTAAGTGGAAGCAAAACCCAGGTAATACGGCATTTGTTTCATTTGCAAGTAAACTGCACCAGTTTAGATTTTAGCCTCCCCATAAATTTTGGATTATTTGTCCATTAGTCCACACCCTTCGATGTAAAAACCTTCAGTCTTTATAATTAGTTTTATGGTTTATGAGCTTGCACTGCTATGAAGCAAGTAACTAATACTATATATAGCACAAGATTAACTGCTTAATTCACTTAAAAATTCTCTAAATCCAGTTAAGTAGTTTAATAAATTTAAGAGATGTTCCCTTCTTCCCTCCCCTACCTCCTTCCCTCTTCCCACTGTTCACAGTCTATGGGATTCGCAGTCCCAGCTCCTTCCAACTTGAGTTCAGAACGCCATTGTTTTGACAAATCAGCCAGAGGATAGGATGAAATTCCTTTCACGGCATCTTAAGTGAACTTGACCTCACACAAAAGCTTATGCTATATTATATTTGATTTAGTTAGTGTGTAAGGTACATATCTACCTTGCATTCTACATGAACTTCTCAGCCCCTGTGAAGAGAAGGCACCAGTTCTTTATCTTACTGCATTTCCTGGATGCAGGGGACTAAGTCCCTTAAAAAACCTGCTGGCTGTGGGTACCTTTGCTCTAATTCTTTATATTTTTCAAGAGGAGTTATTAGTTTCATCTTTATGAGCTATGGTATGTTTTTATTCTTACTAGGCAATGTCATCATCCATTTTTAGTACAGAAGGGACTATCATCATAAGCAAAAGCAGTTTTTCCAAATTGAAATATTTGCTTCAAAGCAGCTATTATGCCAGCCCACCAAGTCCGCTGTGCAACTTTTCCTTTTATTTATATATATATATATATATATATAAAATAAAACAAAACTTAAAATCAGGATTGCAGGGTAAAAACATAACCAGGAAACTTTATATCATAGTCTTAGTTATTTCCAAGACAACACCTTTGTTCAAAGACAAAGATTTTCCTCCCCAGAAAAGATAGAGCACATAGTGAAATGCTGTTAGAGATATTTCAGTAACTTGGAACTTAAAGGGAGAAGGCACCATTCCTTCACCACAATGCTATATACTCAGTGGGTTCCAGCCCTAAGGACTAATGAGTGCCTACAGACGTACTCGTTAGAGTTCTAATTGGAATGCTCCAGTGTTGCCTCACCGTCATGTGTATTAAGCCCCCACGTTTCAAGACGGCCATAGGGAAGCTTTATCTAAACGTCATCGAATGAGCTTTAGCTAAAGCATCCCATGGCCATTTGGAAATGTGCAGGGGCTTAATTCATGTGAGAATAAGCTGTTTCAATTAGAGCAGCTGTCCAGGAACCACTTTAATTAAAACACACCTCTTCCCCCAAGCATGCATATAGGCAGCCAATACGTTTTACTATAGTGCAGACAGACAGGAATTCCCACTTTTTGCTACAGTAAGACTAATTTATACTATACTTCATACTTACCATGCTTCATTAGATATATTACTATAAGTTACACTACATATTTTTTCTAACATGCTTTATTTCCATTTAAGGAAGAGAGATAGACTTAAAACAATTTTATAGGTGGAGTCTCTCCACCTCTCCATTTCTGGTGCTGCATAGAAAGATATGGATTCACATTTACAAAATCCAACTCCCCCATTTAAATTTGACTGTAGACCATATCAAAAACCACTCTGAAATTATTTTCCAGTTCTGGTTCAGAGGCATTTAAAAGTTCCTAAGAACAGGCTCTGTCCCAAAGATGATCCAAATGTTATAAGAACATCTGATAACAAAGATTTTCAATTAAGATGGCATGTTTCATTGGCTGAACTAAAAATGAGTTATTTCTTAACAGAGTTTAAGAGGGTTTTTTCTTTCTTTTTTTTTTTTTTTGCTGTCAGGAGATAAACTCACAACAGATTAATACATCAAACTTTACTCTGCAGCAGATAACTGAATCTTATCCTAATCTAATCTGTCAAGAGGACATTAGGTGCACTTATGAATCTTAAATCAGGTTCAAGTCATTCAGTTCTTTTCAGTTTTCAGCATGAAATTTGTTGATTTTTTGTAGTATTCTGCTATTTATTTCATTAGCAAAATCCTCCTTTTGTGCAAGGTCATTAACAAAAACATTAAACAAGATTATGTCCAAAACTAATTCTGAGAAATTCTACTAGTCACTTCCCTCTAGTGTGGTAGCTCACTTCTATGCAACATGCTATCAATCTTTTATCAAGCTCCTTAGATTTACAATTTTTGTGCTAATCCCCATCTTCTCCAGTTTAAAGAATTCCCCTCTAGGCAACATATCAAACAAGTAAGTTATGCATACTGCTTTCTTCTTGTTTTTTCTGGAGTTATGACAAATTATAGGAGTTGCAGATCCAGCACATCATCATTTTCTTTTCCTTTTTTCTCTTTTTCAAGTGCTTGCTCTTGACTTAAAAAAAAAATATGATAAGAGACATACGTAGCTCAAAAGCAACCCACAGTACCAAAAGCATTAAGTTTGGTCCTTGTAATAGGGATGGGCCCGTTAGGAATTTATTTTTGTTTGAAGCCTGAACCAAAGTTCACAGGAAGTTGTTTCAAAGTTTGAGCATTTTCCTATTCCTATAAGAGACAAATTTGAGTGGTCTGATTTTACAAAATGAAACCCAGGGTTTGGTCAGAAGATCCACTTTATACATTTTTCCAACCTAAGCTGAGAGACAGAACAAAAAAAGCTTTCAGCTCTCCCTTACAGTCAAAGGTGAGGTCATTATGTGCATACTGACAACTTCACCTCTTTTTTAATATGGAATAATTAAAAAGGAAATTTCTTTGCAAGAGACAAAAGAGCAAGGAAAATTGGTTAATATGCGTGGTCATTAAACTCACTGCCAAGCCCCCATGATAGCAGATAAAGTTCTGAAACACTTTTGGAAACTCAAATATCTCCTCCATAAGTTATTAATTCACAACAGTTTTAGAGAGCTTCTATACTTACAGATCATACACATGCCTCCCCCCAATATTAGCCCTCCATAATAGGGGTGCTTCTGTTAAATGAGGAAGTTGATTTCCATTCTGGATTGACACATATGGTCACAGTAATGGTTGCCAGAATCTACCATCCCAACCCTTCCTAGGCTCAGGAAGACAGGCAAAACCTACTGCTTAGGTCACTCACTCTGTCCTTACAAACTCCACAGCTCAAGCTTTAACCCCATCAAAACCACTGCCAAATCACCAGCAATTTTTGTGAACTCATGTTGTGGCAGGGATAGCTTTGGAAAAATCTTTTCTCTTTCATTCTGCCATACCAAAACAAGCTACATGTCTTATTTGAGGGCACGTGGCGTGTAAGAAAATATGGTGTTTAAGGGCTAGTTCTCATCAATAGTACCCAGTAGGTATCCCAAGGAAATAAGAGGCTGAATTTATTAAAAAAAAAAAAAAAAGCCCTCCTTCCCCCAACTCTCCCCTCTTCTCCATCCAGAATCTATACAACTGGATTAAGGAAAATTTTGTTTTTAAAGACTATTCATATCAGTAAGAAAATATATAGTTGCAGTAACTTTCCAAATAGCTTATAGCAAAGAACTTAAACTCATTTGGCTCCACAGACCAAATGAGTTGCTCAAGATCAGTCCACAGGCTAGATCTAGAGCACAAAGTATGTCATCTGGTCCATGGGGATCGTCACAGGGCTGGTAATTTGCAGTGGCAGCATTAACTGCCATTGCTTCCAGAGCCAGTACAGACATCACTCATTCCACTCCCAGATTTCAGGCCTGCAGGCGACACAGCTCTGCACTCTGGATCTGGCTCACAGGGCCAGAAATTTGGTGATGGGGTGAGCATCAGCAGCATTAACTGCCAAGGCTTCAGAAACAGACAATTAACAGTTCCACCCGCCCCCCACAACCAAGTTCCCAGCCCTGTAGACAGCTCCACAGGCTGGATGACAGCTCCATCGGTCAGATCTGGCCCAGAAGCCATTATCTTTGACACTGTTGGGTTACATCATTTTCTGGTGGAGCTTCTATATTGCTAGGTGTAGTACCCTGAGGAGAGGTGGTGATTGAGGGACTGGAAGTGATTTAAGTACTTCAAGCCACAGCAAAAGAATACTTAGGTTATGGACAAATCTAAAACTTTACACTGATTTAAAGGGAAAACGGAGCTGTTGCTCTGGAGCAATGTAACCATCATGTTTTCAGGCTTCTCTAGCAATACATGTTAGCTAAAAATTTATTTAATTTAAACCTGAATGAATTGGGGTTAAAATTGCAAGGGTATTGCTATATAAACAGCTACATCATAACATTTCCAATTCCTATCTTTTTGTAATTTATATCATTGCTGCATCTTAAAGTGTGAGTACATGACAATTTTCTCTAAAGCATAATACTGGATTATTTAGCATTGGTGTGCAGTTTTACCAATTAGCTTGCTAGAGTAATGTGCTATTTAAAAAGCTGAATACCAGAGAACTCCATTAGCAAAGTAAAGAATGGCTGTCTGTAACCTTTTGATAAAAAGATTCCAAATGCTAAATTTATTTTTATTGCAGCATTATTTGGACAAGCCAATTTCATAATGAGAAATTTTTTGGCTATATTTTAGAACAATTTATATCAATAAGACCAATTCTCCAATACATTAATGATTATCAGTAATCACTTCATAACGCAGCTCTCCACAACATATGTCATCCACTCACCACAGACAGAGCCTCGCACTAATCTCCTTAAATGCGGTCTCTCGGGGAGGCAGCGGTATTTGCATCCAAAGATACTGAGGTTTGACGTGTGATCTCCAAAGAAACGGAGCTGGCGGTATCTCTCCCCGCAACGGTAACAGAAATTAGTGTTACATTGTGAACAGGTCATGTGGTCACACCCTTCTGTTCGCTGGATGTGGATCTTTGAGCAGAAGAAAAAAAGAAAGCGTTATTCTACCCCTCCTCAAAGAAAACATTAGATTAGGAACTACCCAATAATTAAATGGAACCAGCATTGGACAAAGACTCACCATGAGTAACTCATTGAATTACAATTATTTTGTTACCATCCTATCTTATTTTGTCAATAATGCGATTGGTCTGACTACCACTACACTGAAGTCCTAAGAACTTGTTCATGGATCAGCAAACCAGAACATTTTAGTTCAATTCACTTCTACAGCTTCAGTGGATGAGTTCAGTCCTACTTACTCATCCCTCAGCCTCTTTTCATGTTAAACAATCACTTTGCATCCCAGCCAAAAGCCCAAGTGTTTTTTTTCTAACGAATCCAAACAAATATTTTAAATACTGAAACCCTGCGTATTCAAGCTACATGTACTAAATTCTTGCCTCTTCAACAGGGCAGGAGGGATGAGTGAGGGATTAAGTATTATCAGTCAGGTTATACTACATGAATGCAATTACACAGCCAGATAGAAATCTTGCACAAAAAGTTAAGTAGAGCTGGGAGGAAACATTTCCCTTCCAAGAACTTCTGAGCTTTCAGAAAGCTGCCTGTTCCACATGGTACCCAACTATTTATAAGTTTTATGCAGGAAACAAAGGGGGCAACCCACCCCATCAAAGTACTTGCTTAAGATGTGGGAGGCCCAAGTACAAGTTCATGCTCTCCTTAGCACTGGGATACTGCACATTCTGGAATTGCATATGAACGCTTTCTGGTTTTGACCAGAAATTTCATCCTGTACCGGAGCAACCTTTCCAGCAGATGCTTTATTAGAAATGGCACACTCCTGTAAAGGTTTCTAGCTTCAGTACATTGATATGATTTAATTTAAGTAAAAAGGAACAGTTAAAAAAAAGAAAAAAAACAACAAACCTCATTACAAGTCTCAGCCCACCTGCTCAAGTCTCTATGCCAGATTCAGTACAGGCAACCCTCGCCATTCATGGGGGATACATTCTCACATCCCCCATGAAAGGCGAAATCCACAAATAAGGCACTGCGTTCATGAACACCATCCGCATTCATAAACTCCGTGCCCCTGGTGGCTGGGAGAAAAGGGGGGGCATAGCTGTTCTGGTGACG